TGCAACATTTACAGAAGATGGCAAAGATGTGACATGGCTTGTATCCTGACAGTCACCTTTCAGCATGGAAGGATTATCTGAAATATTAGAATTTGAGGTTCCTTTGATGCTTAGCTTCCTACTAAGTTCTGGCAGTTTCTTCATTTTCATTGAAAGTTTTCTCACAGTTCTAGGAGATTTTATTTTATCAGGGAAAGGCCAATTAATCGCGCCTCCTTTTTTCAAAGGATTAGGACTTGGAGGAGAAATTTCTGTCACTCCTGTCTCAGGCTTGTTTGCAGGTACAATTCCAGATCCTTTAAAAGAAAACAAAACAAAGTAAAAATTAACAGAAGTTATAGAAGCAATAAAAAATCATGAGCTATGGAAGAGGTTATTAATTTGTCAGTACTCAATACATATGGGCTCTACTGACAAAACACAACCTTTATGCATTTTGCTGACTTTTCCAGCCCAAAGTTGGTAAAGAACAATCAGAAGCTTGATTTTTCCCATTCTGCCGAGGCTTTGCCCAACAAAGCTACTTTTGCTGTTTTACACACACACTCTCACTCTCTCTCCTATAATTTCCACTCCAGCTCACCTGATGAAGTGGCTTTACCCTTAAAAGCTCAGGATCCAATATATCTGTTAGCCTCTAAGGTGCTGCAGGACTACTCATTGTTTTTAAAATTACAGACTAATACAGCTACCCCTCAAACAGAAGAGGTGCATGCTATTTCTAAACAATTCATCCATCCCACCTACCTGTGTAGTAATCCAACTGTTTGTATAATGTGCCCTCACACAGACTGACTTGACTACTTCACCAGGGTTCAGATGTCAGTGACCCATGAGTTTAGATGAGAGGGCTGTGGAACACTACAGACAGACACTCTCCTCTCCGAGTACTGACGCTGCCCTTAAATTACTCAGGAGAGCACACAGCTTGTGGTGTTCTGCAATAAAGTATTACAGAGGACGCCTCCTCTCTACACACCTCTGTTTAGCCATGATGGCATTTTTTTGGTCCTCTTACTAGGTTTTTTTAATATGGCGTATACTTTTAATTTGAGCCTCTATTACGGTATTGATAAAAAAATTCCATGTTGCCTGCATGCATTTCACTTTTGAAAATTTCTGTTTAACTAGCTTCTTCATTTTTGTGCAATGCCCCTTTCTGAAGTTAACTACTAACTTGGTGGAATTCTTGTGTGTATCCCTCTCCCTCACAGGGATGTCAAACTTAACTTTATTATAGTTATTACCGCCTAGTGGTTCCACTATATTCACTCCATGCTCCACTAAAATCAAGAATTGCCTTTCCTCTTGTGTGTTCCAGGACTAATTGCTCCAAGATACACCATATACGACTGTATCTTTGAATTCCATCCTAAAATGACAATATGTATTCAATCAACATGTAGAAAGTCGAAATCCGCCATTATTATTGGGATTACCATGGTATTGCCTCTCAGGTTTCATTCTTCCCAAGAATCCCAACTTTTCCTGGGACAAGCCTTTCCTCTTTCCTAGCATTATACCCCCAAAACAGGCTTGGAAGTTAGCCAGTTCCTAGGTGACCTTCATCTGTCAAACTGCTAGTTTTCAAGGCTTAAACAAGTCATACCAACGGAATCTTTGCTACTACAGAAACAGGAAAGTTTTGACAGTCTTGGTATTAAAATGCATGCTGATACATACAAGAGTAGATGTTATGTAACCCCTGTGCATACTTGAACCTCTTTAATATACCAACTTGAAAAGTATGTATATTTGGTCATAATCACTGACAAAACTTCAAGCATAAATTATAATCCTTTGCTAATAGCGGACTGGGAGAATCTGCAAATGACCAACCATTGTTCACAAAAGTATAGTAAGTCATACCGTCGCATTTTAATAAGATATCTGCACCTTTGTTACTACCACTGGATTTTTAAAATGCTTTTAGCATTAATTCATAGTACCTCACATGAACAAATGACTGTTCAGTCACTAATTGATCCTCACAATTCTCCTCTGTTAATGTGATTTACTTTTCATCATTAATAAGGTTAGTTTACTTTTATGCACTTCACTCATCTTGAACAGTGAAATCATATTTGCTAGTTTCACTAATTTAATAAAACCTTATTTTAAAATTGTTTTTGTAAATGTTACAAAAATCTAACTTTGATACTCAAGTTAGTTCCCCACTTTGATAATTTTTACAGATATGATCCCCCCCCTTTTTTTTTACAAAAAGGTTCTTGATGATAAAAAGTTACAAGTCTGAAAAAATAGTGCATAAGATCTGATCTACAGAAGAATACATGAATTTTCTTTTCTTGTTTCCTCAGTTGCTGTGTCCCATTGAAGTACAGTAGTTTCCATACAGGGAAAAGACTTTTTCTAGCATGCCTGCAGTGTTTCTCTGGCAAGCACCTAGTAAGAAATGTGGTGTTTGATAAAACTGGACAAAGCACTCCCTTGTGCTTCAAATCAGAACACAGTCCCACTGGTGGGCTGGCCTGAAGCATTCTATAGTAATCAGTACCATGCGTTAGCCTGCTAACATTAATCTTCTCTTCCTGTCAGAAGTCTCTGGCACAGGCTTAGAAAAGCAAGCCAACATATTAAACTTTTCTCAGTTTCATTAGAGCTGAAGAGCCAATCTAACATTCTGACTTTTGTGTGTCCAATTTCTGCTGTATTCAGCACTGAACAGTTAAAATGAAATATGTGGCTGAGTGAAATTTTAACAGTCAACTATTATGTGGGTTGGTATTTCCATGAGTATTAAGCCACATGTTTTCCAGTAAAGCCAGAAAGTTGCTAAGATATGCATGTGATTTTCAAAACAGCATAAATAGCTTTTAACCATCTGAAAAATGTAAACTCACTATAGTCTAAATATAACAAATTTTTACTCTGAAATCCAGTCCACTCTATATAGCATTCACATAATACTGCTTAACAAAATAAACTGCTTTTTCTGGTTACCTGGCAAGACAAAACATAGACTATTACATAAACTCGATCAATTTCATTTCAACGCCCAATCAGAATCTGATCGTGTCTGTTATGCTTGAAAAATATCCAGCACGAACGATGTTGTTTAAATGACTATCAAGCCAACACCATGAAACAATAAAAACAAGATGCTTTACTGCCCGGCATACCAGACTACAGAAACTGAAACTTACTGAAAAAAAAAAGTCAAGTTAGAATAATGAAATGTAAAGCCATTACTTATACTTGCTACATAAATCAGCTTTATAGAGTTTTATTTTTTGGCTTTATAGGTATGTGAGAGCGAGAGAGAGAGATTTTGCAGAACTCAACTGAGAGATTCATAGTTTTATATTAGATTGATTTCAAGTTTTCCTGGAAAGGCACTATAATTGAACAAAAATGACTTTGCAGTGTACCTGATGCACTGTACATGATTACCTCAATTCATTATTTATTTGGTGTGATAAGGCAAATGTTTAGGTTTGTTCAATAATGTAATTGAACAAAGTAATAAAGCCTTTTTCATAACTGCAAAGAGGCAGGCAGACTATGGGAACTGCAATATTTCATAAATTCAGATACTTTTCATCTCAGCTTTATATTTAGAATCAGGGTCCATCCTGTCCCGCAGCTTTCAGTCCTAATGAAATTAACATCTTCACAGCTGGGCTCTAAGGAAATAGGTTAGCTTACTTTAAACTGAAGAAGAGAGCTCTTCTTCCGCTTCTGGAAGCTTGAAAGCTTCTCTCTTTCACCAGCAGAAGAAGCTGATCCAATAAAAAAAAAAAATATTACCTCACCCACCTTGTCTTTCTATATAAATTTTTGTCATATGAATTTCCAACAAGCTGCATTATTTTAAAAGCATAAAGGCGCTGGCTTACATAGAAAGTTTTCCTCCATTTTAGGAAGTTTTAAAGGTTTAACATTTGCTTCAAATTTTACCAGAAAAATGTGTAATTTTTATAGGTAATAAGGTGAATGGATAACTGGCCAACACAAAAATATTTCAGGTGGCAACAGTTCTCTAATTCTAACAGACTGTTACAATTTTAAAATAAATATCCCAGTATAGAACTCCAATGAAAACCTGAAACTACTATTGAACTAAAATTACTATTCACAAGAACCTTTTCCTATAGGTTTCCAGGAATTCCCTTAGTAGGCATAATACATATATAATTCTGAAAACATCTGTTTAAGTTCATATAAAGCTTTGTGGTACTAACACTACAATTAAAACCATACCATTGTTAAAAATAGCTTTTCAATAGGTTTTAATATATTTTTCTTTATTTCTGGATTTTCCATGCTTTTTTCTCAGCCCACTGATGAACTTTTGCAATGTTTATAAGCAAACCAAAACATAAACACAGCAATTCTGGCGCTAGATATCCAAGTGGACTGGGAGGAGGCACACACTATTCTTTTAAGTCATAAGCCACATAGAAATGTTGAGCCATCTCTTCAGTGGCATAGCTTCACTGAAGTCCATAGAACTACACTGATTTACACAAGTTGAAGATTTGACCCATTAAAGCTACAACCCCATTTAGAAGTTAAAAAGCAGAATTATGAACAGTCTTTAATGAAGAACATGTGCTTCCCCAAACTGAGCACTGGTTAAGAAACCAGGAAGTTATCCTTTCCATCCACTTTGGCAAAATAAAAAGGAGACAAGGGGGGGGGGGGGAGAATCAAAATACCTCCTTTTAAAAAAAAATGGGATTTGTTAAATAGTTGCAGATAATTCAAATAAATGGAAATTCATTTCTTCTTTACACCTAAGTACTAAACTTCCCCCTCCCCCTTGGACAACTATCATTTTTCAAACAGATCTAGCAAAAGGTTCTGGATAGGGATATAAAAGTGTAACCATGTAAACAGGTAACCGATAAACTTATTGGTTACCCAAACTGCTACATGTGGCTCCTGGTCCTGCTCCTGGGGAGCTGCCTGCCTCCCTGAGTTGCTGCCTCTGTATCAGAGGAAGTAGCATGGGGCAGCAGCCGGCTCCCTGGGGCCAAGGTGGAAGCCAGGAGCTGGTGCATGCTGAGAGACAGTTGTTAAATTGGCTCCTGGTATACCGGCTCCTGGGGAGCTGGCTGATACACAGGGCAGCAGCCAGTGCATACCACTGATGATACAAAGCGAGGGAGTAGAGAGGTTACTATAGGTTTAAAAAAATATTTCCCTGATGCTTTTGTTAGGGGTTAAATACCTTTCCTGAAAGAGAGGAGACAATGTTCTGACAGCAAGTAATGAAGCTACCTGCTGCCCCAATAGACGAAGTGAATTATTTAAATAGTCCATAATTAAAGA